CCTATTTTTCATTTTCTGCAGTTTGTTCATCCGACCAATAGGAGCTCCCCTCGCAGCTCCGCCTCCTGAAACTAGATCATCCTTAGGAGAAGAAGACGACCCGCTCCGTTCTGGACTCTGCTGAAATATTTTAATTTGGGCTCATTCTAATAACCATGACAGAAGGTATCTATGGCTGACAACAAAGATTGATCAGCCACCAATCAGGAGGAGGCGCTGCAGGTCAGAGGAAAACCAGCACCTCCTTCTCCACAAAAACAAACTGACCAGAGGGGAGGAGCCTGCAGACCATCCCAGGTGTTCCCCATTGTTCAGAGAGAACCGTGTCGTTGTTGAGATGTTCTCTCCAGGCTGAAAATGACTCTTCTGGACCTTCCTGTTAGAAACCAGAAGATCTCCAGACTGTGTGGAGATCAGCAGTCAGAGGAGGTTCAGGACTGATCCATGGAGGTCCCATGGCCCTCTGGGCTTTAGTCATGGTTCCTCTGTAGACCACCATGAGGTTCTGGCTGATGATGCACAGACGAAGCGTCCTTCTTTACAGCAGGTGACCCAGGACAGAAAAAAGTTTGGGTCTAAAGGATGAAGCCAGCGTGAAAAGGTCCCATAAAACCTGCTCTGTCATTTTAAAGTCACCTCCTGCAGGGAATGAAGCTAAAAGCATCCATCCCAGTCCTCCCAGTCCGCCCAGTCCGCCTCCAGCCGCATCGCTGCTCAGAATCGGACATGGACTCGGACAGTCCGTTAACACCTCGGAGCCTTCGGCCGCTCGTTCAGATCAGGTGACTCACGCCTCATTCTGCTGGTGGAGTCTATCTGAGAACCAAGGACTTCCTGGTCTGACCGACCAGCTGGCTGAGGTCAAAGGTCACAGTTAAAAACCAACCTTCACTCTACAGATGATGATTCATTAATCAATAAACATCCATTTAAATACCTGTTCAGTTTAGTATTTCTATGGTTCATCCAGCTTTTCTAATTCCCTGAGGATCAGCGATGTGCACAGATGGACACTAGGTGGAGCTAGTGTTGAGTTTTCACTTAACTTTATTGAACTGAACAAAACGGAACATACAAAAACCACCAGGTGGCAGTATTTCACATCCTGACCTGCTTTGTCAAATTACTGCATTAGAACAGCTGGAGCACCTGAACTGTTCCCCTCTGGAAAAAAAAGTTCCCTCCTGAGATAATCTTTGTTTTTTACTTTTTTTAGCCTTTGGAACGAATTTATAATTTTTAAAAGTCTGTATTTTTATTATTTTGCTCCATGAGACGTGAAGCTCCGCCTCCACAGAGCGTTGCCCTAGTGATGGACCAGGTAACCGTCCAGGTAAACCTCCTTCACCAACCAGTTAGTTCACAGCAGAATGTGTTTAAAGGCCTCTGCTGAGACCTAACAATAAAACTATTTGATTAAATTAGAATAAAATAGAATTTAAAGCGTCTCATAGACGTAATTATTGATTTACTGTTACGTTGCTGTCAGGGACTCACTGATCACATCTATTTGACTTTATTATGACAACCGCAGCAAACCGCTTTCCTTTTCTCTGTTAAACATGAAATGTTTATTTTAAACTATTTAATTATTAGATATTATGCACTCAAAATAAGATGTTTGTTTTTTTATATTTTAAATGTAAATCTTAGTTAATCTGCAAATAGTCATATAAACGTAATAACCTTAAAGATATTCTGGATGTTTTGGGCTTTAAATGAGTGGATTTTAAACTGTTATCTATTGAAGTGACACCAAGGTGGCGCTGTTTGGCTGCTGGCGGCTCCACGCCACGCAGAAGGTGCCCGTTCTTCCAATGCCTGTGCCGCTGCTGAGGATAGAACCCGATTATCCTCTATCCTGTCTGGTTTTACTAAGTATTAATGTTTACTCTGTCCCGGTTCGTCTTTAATTCTATTCTCTGTGGAGAAACAGGCCGTTAACACCTGAAAACGTCTCATTCTTCCCACAGAGGGACTCATTCAGACTCACAACCCAGAGCAACCAGAGTCCAGCTCCATTCTTTAAATGTCTGGAGTTTGTTTTGTTGTGTTTTGCAGCCCTGGAGGCGATAATGAGGGAGACGGAGGGAGGAGAGGCCTTGATGGAGGTGAGAGGAGACTCTCTGGCTGCTGTCGCCTCAGGCCTACAGTCTCTGAGTGAAAGGTTTCCAGGAGCTAAAAATCAATGATAATCTGAGGCCACCTGGGCATGTAAACAGAGCAATAATGGAAAAACACACATCCACCCCCAGACGCACACAAAGGAGGCGCTCAGCAACACAGAACCAGTAAACACAGACGCACCATAACAGCCTGCTGTCGGGTTTCCCTCTCTAGGCTTCCTTATGCTGCAAAACACTACGAGGAAAGAATGTAAAAACCTGCAGGCTGAAGGTTTACTGCCCCCTAGTGGCAGACACGTACAAATAAAGCAGCTGAGTCCAAACCCAAGGGGCCGCTAATGGCCCCTGGGCCCCACTTTGGACACACCTGGCTTAATAGATTTATCCTATAAAAAAACTAATTCCAGTTTAACTTATAATGTTTGGCGACATTTTGCTTCCAATGATGCTTCTGCCTCAAACGATCAGCAGAGTCCAACTGTCTGCTTTCACCACTTACTCAGAATACACTGCTATGCTAACAGCTAATTGATAATTAGAACCATGCTAAAGGCTACTATGCTAAAGCTATTACTCAAAGTAAATTTAAAAGCTAACAAAACGGCAAAAGCTAAAAATGACTGAATTTTTCTAACAAAGTTGAAACATGCTAATAGCTAATCTGAGTCCAGATAATAATTAACCACAATCAGAACATCGGCTAACGTCTAACAAAGAAAACTAACCACTGAAGGGCAGCTAGTCCACAGCTACATGGATCCAACCATCAGCCAATCAGAGGACCTGATGGTGCAGGACGGGTCGGGTTTCTGGGACGGGTCGGGTTTCTGGGACGGATCGGGTTTCTGAGACGGATCGGGTTTCTGAGACGGATCGGGTTTCTGAGACGGGTCGGGTTTCTGGGACGGGATCGGGTTTCTGGGACGGATCGGGTTTCTGAGACGGGATCGGGTTACTGGGACGGGTCGGGTTTCTGGGACGGGATCGGGTTTCTGGGACGGATCAGGTTTCTGGGATGGGATCGGGTTTCTGGGACGGATCGGGTTTCTGGGACGGGTCAGGTTACTGGGACGGATCGGGTTTCTGGGACGGGTCGGGTTGTGACACAAGGTTTAGCTTAGAACTTCTTTTAAGCTAGCAGCTAATCTGAGTTAAAAGCGTTTAAACCTAAAACTCCATCATCCGCTGTTTAGATTATAATTAATCCCTGATATAAATATTTCCTGAACTAAAGCTCATTTATCGGCTCTCAGTCAGACTTCCAGCTGGAAGTTTGATGTTTTAATGAAAGCCTGTAAAGCGGTTTGAGCAAAGGAACAAACCTGTCAGGCAGAAATCAGGGATTTAATCTGAGCTTCTGGAGGAAGAAAAGTCTCCTAGCATCAGATAAACCGAAGTGAAATCTGTCATCTGTTCTGCTTTTTAATTAATTCCTGTTTGCTTTGATAGATTCAGCGGAGGGACAGAATTCTCCTGGACAGCCCTGAACTCTAGAGCTAGTCCACACAGACCCGCTTTAATAAAAGCTGTAGGTTAGAGCAGAGAATGGCGGCAGAGAGCCCTTTAAGCCACCGTAGAAGATTCTGGTCAAAAAGATCAACCAGCCGTTCCACCATCACATGGGAGAGCTGCTCTGACCCTACCAGCCGGGCTGTTTGTTAGATTTACCGTCTGGTTTCAGCTCTGAGGACACGAGCAGAGACAGACAGGTCAGCTCCGTCCCTCTGGCTAATGTCAGGGACACTTACGCTTTATTAAACGTATCCAAACAAACAGCGCCTCAGGCTGCAGCATCCAGCCAGGAGAGCTGCTACATCACAGCCACAACCATTTTCTCAGGAAGAAATGTTTCATTTTCATTAAAAAGGTTCCAGTTTTTATTAAAGTGATCAGAGTCCAGTCGGTTTATCATTTAAGGAGCAGAAGATCCATTTAAACTGAAATCTCAGATGTTTTAAAGCTGGGTTTTTTTTCTGTCTGCTTGTTTTTAAAAGTTTACCCTCATGTTGCATCATCCTGCATTTTAACAAACAGTTAGAATCAGAGGAGACAAACTGTTGGAGCTCTAAAGCGTTTTGATCCGGTCTGATCCTCATCAACCCTGGATGGGAACGCCGCGTGTTTCCCTTCAGCCTGGGAGCTTCATGGCTGGATCACACTGGTTGTTCTGGGAGCGACTCCACCTTCTCTATCATCTCCACCTTCCCTCCCTCTCCCTTCCTCCTCCATGACGGCGGTGGAACTCCAACACGTCTGTCGCTCATGAACTCATCGATTTCTCACAGCTTTCATTTTGGTGATTTATGTTTACAGAAAATAAAAACTTTAGGAAACCAGAATATTATCAAACATTTGATTAATGGAGATTCTGATCAAACTCCACAGTCAGAAGGGAGGGGGGGCATCTGAGACCAAGGGCCTTAGGGGTGTGTGTGTGTGTGTGGGGGGGGGGGTTACTCACCGGACTGTGGCAGCATGGAGGAGTAAACCTTTGGGTCGATGGTCCCCATCGGCGGTGGCAGCAGCGGGTTGGTGAAGCTCCGCAGCGGGTGGGTCGGCCGAACGCAGGCCGTGGGGATGGTCCGCCCCCCGCCTGTCTGCGCCTCCTCTGAGGAGCCCGGGGCGGCGGGGGCCCCGGGGACGGGGCCGACGGGGGGAACGTGCTCCGAGGCAGGAGCAGCGCAGCCAGGCAGGAGGGGGGCGGCCGGCTGGGGTGGAGGCTGCTGCTGAAGCAGAGGAGCGGTGGAGGAGTCTGAGGGCATCGCTGAGAGGAAGGATGGAAACAGAAAAGTCCAATTAGTGGGAATCCCAGAGAATCCCTGAAGAGTTCGCCCTGACAGCAAGAAGAAAACCGTCCGTCCTTAAAGACGGGAAAACTCTGGACTTTCTTTAAGCCTGAAAATATGAATAATAAATGAAGAAAATCTGAACTCTGCTTCAAAGACTGCAGCCTAGTTCATGTTTAGGACCTTAGAAATCTTTGGGGAGCCGCTTCTGGTTATCAAATATCTGCTCTACCCACACTGAAATCTTTCAGCAGTAGGCTGTTAGCTAGCACTGCGTATAAGCGAGTATTTTACGGCCTTTAATAAAAATACTAGCAACTGTACGATTGGTTTTTAGGATGTACCGCTTTGGCACTTCCTAATTTCCCCCCGGAAACTTTGCTCAAATGTTCACAAGCAGCAGCTGCTGGACGCGCCACATCAACCCTGATTGGTTGAAACTATCCGTTAAACCATCTGAGTTAAACCATCCAAGTTAAACCATATGTTAAACCACCAGAGTTAAACCGTCAGATTTAAACCATCAGTTAAACCATCCGAGTTAAACCACCAGAGTTAAACCACCAGAGTTAAACCATCAGAGTTAAACCACCAGAGTTAAACCA